GTTTTCTGAGTAATACCCCATTGTCCTAAGACCTGGATGAGAGCAGTTATGCCCTGTGAGGCTTTGGGGCTAATACAGTACTGTCATACGTGGGTGAAGGGACTTTTCGGTAACTTGGGTGCCGCCTCTAACAGAAAAGAAATAGCCTCCACAGCAGGTATTTTATCAATAGAAACGACAGAGTTCTGGGTCTGAGGGTTTGAGAGCCTAATGGAGCATTAATAGTCTGGGATTTTAATATATCTATACTCAAAATACTTAAAAGCCCTACTGCCACTATGGGTCTTAGTGTCCTTCCACTGGGTAGAGCCAGTTATATTCTGGCCATGGGGACCTCTCATCTTTTCCTGGTAATCACTACTATAGAAATCCTTTCTTGAGATTTCTGCATTAACCCAGGGGCATCCTCAGCTGTAATCAATGATATTGAGGCTGCTGTACCCGTAAGAAAAGAGACAGAGCATTTGCCATTCACTAGTAATGGTATACAAGGGTGCTAATACTAATTCCAAAACTTTTGGCCACCTGGAAGGGGTTGTTGTATCTCCCTAGGCCAATGTTGGGAACCCCTCTATTCATTTTTGGGTAGCAGCATCGGGGGAGTGGGCAGAACAAGGTTGTCCGGGATGGGGGAAGCAGAGGGCCTAACGCTGCCCGGCCCCTTCCCTGCCCCCGGGCTGCCGGCGCTGCCCCCATCACGGTTATCCCACAGTCTCTGCAAGACAAACATGGGCATGCCCTCTAACTGGCCTGCTGTGAAGCCTATTCCTTGCAGGAGATCCCGTAAGCGCCTCCGTTCCAGATCACGCTCCTGTTTGCCAGGGGCTCGTTTTGTGTCGGATCGATTAATTCCAGCATTTCGAGCATTTTGTCCATTATCCTTATTCCTCTGACCTCCCTTTAGCATCTGGATGACCCTGACCCGACCTTCCCTCTTACAGACTATTGCTTCAGGCATGCTTCCCTGTCCTCGTTGCTTCCCCATAAGGGCTGTCCAATTTTGCAGCCCTTGGGCCATTATGGTATTCCAGTCCCAGGTTTCGTGGTGTAACATTAAGGCCAGGGTCTTCAGCTCCCTGTGTGCTGCATTTCACAAGAGTTTTAGTTTCCCTGCTGCTGTTGCTGGCACAGCCATCATGTCCCAGGGTATATCCCCTTGTCCCCTAAGGACATCCCGAGCAGCCAGTCTCATCATCCATACAGAAAACCCATCGGGAGTACTCCAGGGAGGGGGAGGGAGATATCCCCGTGGTCCTGGCATTTTTCTGACAGCATGTATTATGGAAGATAACAGGGAGAAGGTATTCAGTCCGGTCCTTGCGTCGGGGTTTAAGAGTAATATTCTTCCTCCCAGGAATATTTGTCTGGCCTCAGTCTGATTAAGGATCACGGTTCCAGCCCCCAGCTGGTAGCACCGCGCCACCCATCCCACGCAGTCCTCATGAGGCTTTTTGCTGTACTGCAAGGACAGCTGCCTTAGCTGTTCTGCGTTAAAATTTGCAGTGGTCGTCGTGACCCCAGGCGGCGGGGGAGTGCCTTCCTCTCAGGCAGGAGCTGGGAGTTGTACCAGGGAAGTTTTAACGTTAGGGTACAAGGAGGCTGCGTTATCCGGACAATGCTCAGGTAACGAAGCGGGGGTGGAAGACCCGCTGCCAGAATCAAAGCCCTCCTCCTCATTATCCATTTTCAGTATGTGCATCTTTTCACCAATCTCGCTCTCTGAGACCAGGTACGTAGGCTCTGGCTTTAGTTGTCGTATAGCCAGAGGTCTAAGGTTCGTTTCTAATTGTCTAAGTAATTGGTTCGCAACAAAACTATGGGATTCAAAGGAAACTCCTTGCACTTCTGCATCCTTAGCTTGCTGCAAAGCTTCCAGTTCCTGCCTAACAGTTTTAAACAAAGTGCCTGTGGCTGCCAACGCCTCTGTGAGAAGCCCAATGAAAGCCCCCTTGCCGTCCTCTGCATGGCATTTATGAGTGTCTTGCCACTTACGAAACTCTGCTCGCAACGTTCCCCAATCCAACCAATTCTCAGACCTGTCCCACTGAGGGGTTTTCCACCCCTTAGCCTCTTGCCATTTTCGCTGCTCTTCTACTGCCTTCTCCCAAGCATCCATGACCTGTGTATCACAGAACCCCACTTCTGACACCAATTAATGCCACAACCCAGAAGGGTTACCTGGCCTGCGGGTGTGCAAAAATTGCAACCATTTGCAGGATTCTGTCATGCACAAAGACACAGGGGATTTATTACCTGTGTTTTTTACTTCATTACAGTTTACTACTATCAAGGCAAGTATAGTTACTATTGGCAAAACATCTACACTGCAAGTTACTACAAATTACTACCAGAAAGCAAACACGTATTTCCAGAGCAGCAGCAATCAATATTAGCAGCAAGTCTATTTCAATATTACAAATTACTGCAGAATTACCACTAATAAAGCAGCAAATATACTTATCAGTAATTACTTACATGCGGGCCTATATATATATATTTATATATATAAAAACATTACCGGTACCAAGCGCTCATCAAACCGATCCCAGCAGTGGGGACAATCAAGCCCATCCCAGAAGCAGGGCCAGTCGACAGCAATGAAGCCTCACTTGGACAATGATCTGCATCACAGAGCCCGGAATCAGCCCGATGTCCCCAGCAAGGGTCCGCTCTGCCGAGGAAATCTCATGGGGTAAAGAGGTTCATGCGCAGGAAAGAGGCTCCGTGTGGGATAAAAAGTAAGACTCCTTTTTATATCACAGAGACATAAAGGGGCGTAGGACACCACCACCCCGAGCAGCCAGTAGATGCTGCAAATTTCTATTTTTCACCTGGCACAGCCAATAACTGGTGATTGTCTCAGACCAATTTTTATTTTGTCAGACTGTTTTTCTGTTCTGTGAGTTAGAACAGCCAATGGCAGTTACTGACTCTTTCCTTTCTCAGGATGTTTTCCCCCTTTTCCAGACTTTTTTTTCACCTTTCCAGATGATAAGTTGCTGTTACAGTTCCTTGGTTTTGCACTTATCAATGGTATCTCGAGATGTCTCTGGTTTCTTGGTATCCAGCTGCACTTCAAAGACACCAGCTGCACTCCTCAAGGATGCTTCTGGTTCCCAGGCCTGGTTCCCAGGCTGGCAGGCATTTTCTCTGTCAGTATTTGAGCAGAGGTCTTTTGCTGTTCAATATTTTCCCCCTTATAACCAGGTCGCCTTTATGGTTGCTCCCATCATCAGCCTAAAAAGATACCTCTCAGCAAATCCAAAATGATCAGCTATAGGGAACACTGCAGAATTTCCCTGTCTAAATAGCCCGGTTTGTGAAAATATCTTTTGTATAGCTACTGATAGTTATTCAGGAACAGATCAAAAGCAACTGCACTAGCTTAGCTTCTCCTCCTGCAATACCTACGTGGGCTAAACACAACCTATGGCATACCATCACACTTCTGCTCAGGAGACCATGCTACAAGCGAGAACTTTGCAGTTACAGCCTTGCTTGGGCTTTCTCCTGTTCTCCGTACTGGCCAGCCTCCACCTACAACCCTGCATTTTCCCAGCAGGATAGCATCAGCTATGTGATGTGGATAGCTATGTGGATCGGCTATGATGTGGATAGCATCAGCTGATGAAAAAAAGTTCAGAGGAGGACACAGGCCATGCAGAAACAGAGAACCAAGACTGAGGACAAAGTCAACCCAGACATGCAGGCAGGGCCACCACTCCCAGCCTGCAAATGCCTGCCAAAAGAGTCAGAGGAAAACCTGAAGCTGGAGCAGGCACCAGGCTGAGTTTGAAATTGCTGCAATGTTCGAACATGCAAGCTGTATTTGTCATTCTGGTACAGACCGACCAAGACCCAACAGTGATTACCAACAAAACATCCAGCCTGTCTAGCCCGCAGTCCAGCTACAAGATTTCCAAAACAGACCATTTCCCCGAGACAGTGACCTCCAAAACTGAGATCTGGAAACAAATTTCCTCTGGGTGTTTCACATTCCTTTGGTCCTGTTCCCTAAACGCAATGTTTGTGTTGCTTGCTAAAAAAATCCACAGCAACAGGCTTTCAAGTAAATTTAAAGGGAAGTCATTCAGTTATTTTTCTGGGATTAAGTCTTAAATAAATTTTCATAGAATAGGCTAGGACAACTATAATATGACCTGTCGCTTATTGGTTAATAAAGCAATGTTGATACTGTGATGTACAAATCATACTTTTAAGGACAAAAACTCGTCTGGCTTTAAGTTGGTGCTGGGTTTATCAAGATTTTGTAAGACTTTTAAGTCCGAGTGAAGCACTGTACTTATGCAGTTACACCGACTGAAGTGCCCAGGCTGGGTTCTCTTGACACAGCACTCCTCGTGCTAGACATAGATACCCACAGCCTTGCAGAGATAGAGTGAACTTTACATACAAATATCAAAAGCTACATAACAATTCCTTAATGGTTCCAGCTTGTGCTGGTCTCTCATGCAGCCCCACTCTATGCTGCTCAGAAATAGCAGCAAGTCAGCCTTCTTTCTGCTGCAAGCACTGACCAACACTTGATCAGAGTCTTATTTTGCTATAACAAGTGATATATCCTTTCATTCTGTTATAAACCATACTCCAGAGTCGATTAAGGATCACAATTTCATATAAACGCCTACTTGCCAGAGAATATAAATCATGTGATAACTCAGTAATTTAAATACAGCCTTATGCCTCTACCCCAGACTTTATCAGGTCAGAGAATGAACTGCAAGACTTTCAAATTCATATATTATGATGCAAATGAGTTTTGTAAATTGTGACCTAGTTCCCATGTTAGGAACAGTTGGGACCAACAGCAGGCACTACACGATGAATGTGAGCAGCGGGGGCAAGCAAGGAAATTAACATTTGTTCTTAATTTGAAATGGATTTTTAATCACTTTCAGGTGCCTCAAAGGAAGTGCACACACTTGTTTACTATAATCATTCTGACAGAAGAATGTGTATAGGAGGTAATATGGTTTTGGTTTACTAATTGAAATGTTTGCAACATGGGTGTCAAACGAAGCACCAGAATACAGCTCTTTCCGGATGATTTACTGAGGGCACAATGAAGGACTGCGAAAGGAAGTTTTCCAATCGATCTGTTCCTCAGAACTTGTTTTGTAAAGAAAAGGAGTTGCACGTATCCTCTCAAAGTGACTGGGTATTAGATCACATCCACCTCTCCAAAGCTGGTTGCTATTTTTTCAGCTAGAGGCCTGATGAAATAGCTCTCCGAAGAGCCTGCTCAGGGTTTCAGCTGCATTGATGTCAATCACCCACTTCAGCATAGTTAGTGGAAAATACCAAACTCACAAAATTCTGCTTGCCCTGTAACAGTGAGCCTGTAACAACAAACGGGGCTGAACTCCAGCCTCAGGCAGCTTTCTGGTAAACCCTACTGTTTTGAATGAGGGCATCAGCAAGGGTGTAACTTGTTGAGAACCAGACAGATTTTCATCCTAAGCGTATCTAGAGTTGGTATCATCGTTGGAAACTATTAGCTGTAAAAGAGCTAGGGCGTCGACTCTCCTGAAAAATAGAGTCTCAGCTCCCTCTGGTGGAAAAAGTAATTTTCTGCAAACCTGTTTCAGTGAGAAAGTCTTGTTTCTGCTTCAGGCCTCAAGGCCATGAGATAATTAAGACAAGGCAGCAAACAAATTCCAAATCCTCCATTCACTTTTTAGGACTGGAACTTCTCAGAAGTTGATGTGAAATTACACGAATCACAGACTGCCGCAGGGTGGCTCCACAAGACACAACACACTCATCAAGTTCTAGCTGTGAAAGGTGGCCAAGAGAGCCTCCACCTTCCCTGGATGGAATTCTCCAGATGTAAATCATGAGCTGTAAGAAGACTACTGAAGCAAACGGTAGCCCCAAGGTAAACAGAACACACTCAGTAAGTTCTAACATTCTCTCCACAATAACCAAGGGTCATCAAGGGGAGTGGAAGCACATTTACAGGGCATGTGGAGTGTGAAAGGGTTAAGTCATCACCCCCAACACACCCAGACAGCGAGGACCTCTTACAGTTGTATGTTTCTGAAGTCTGACTGCCAACAGAGCACAATGTCACAAATACAAGAAGGGTAAGGGAAAGGCCTCAGATCCAAACCTGTGTTCCTTGGTCTTGGACACTGCGTAGATTAATCCAATAAACAATCAACAAAAACTCTCGCTTTTGAACCTCAGCATAACTCCAATCTCCTATTTTGAAAAGCTTAGTGAAGAGTCCAGTACTAATGCCAAAAAACTCTTCTCGCTAGATACAGTTGTTCCTAGTCTACAGGTAAGCATATTAACAAAGGGACGCAGCTTTTTCCATGTGCTTTGCATCAGCACAGGAACAGCAACAATCTAGAACCGCATCACCATTCCTCTTTGCCTTCTTGACAGCAATGAAAATGCAAGCCAATTTCCACCACAGATACGCTAGATATAGTTTAAGGTTATTCCATCCTTTCTAATCAAAACCAATCATACAAGATAATTCTACCTCTTCTTATTCATTATTTTGAGTAGAAAGTAATTCCTGGAACTATTCCAGCTACTGTCACAAAAATTCTACAAATAGAAAGTACGTTTCTGTTTCTCGTTAGAAGAACAAACAGCTCCACTGTAATTAAGCACACAACAACTAGTTGCTCTGACAAATTCTCTGTAGCTCCCGTAAGCAGAATCATAACTCCTGCAGTCACAAACACACTAGGATGACTTTTTAATAATACTGGGGTTCTGAAAACAGTATTGCACACTGACACAGCAGAAGACTTATAGATCCAATGAAAGGAAAACAGTAGCAAAAGAGTATTTATTAAACAGCACATTATTCAATTTCACACTATGGGATTAAGACCCATACTTGCTCCTTGGAAACAGCAGAGCTGAGTAATCCTGTGAGAGTGGGACAGCAGGTCAGGTCTGCAGGTTATTCAGAACAGTAAAATACTGTTTTCCACAGCCAGAAGGAATTTGAGGGTGGGGAAAAGAGACAAAAGCAACATCAGCCAAATATCCTTGGAGTGTTTTGTACAACATTTTTCAGCAGAGAAAAGCTATTAAGGCTAAAAACTGGGCATGAAGTTTTGGTTTCATATATTCAAATATTAAAAAAACCAAACATGGCATATACAACTTGATCTGTGTGTGCACAATTAAAAATAATTTAGTTATTAACAGATTTTTCTCAAAAAAGGCAGTTTTCTACTGGCTGAAGTGTCTATGTATTTAACTGGAAGTCTCGGATGATTGCAGTTCCATCAGCTTTGCTTACTGTCTAGGGAAGTGGCGGGCTTTCAATCTTCTGCACAAATACCAAGTCTGCTTACATAGCTCTCCCAAGCTGCCTTCCTGTACTTCTCTGCTTCTTGAAGACGGTCCGAAGCTGACAAGATGCCACGTCCCACAATAATGATATCGGAACCTTTTTTGCTAATAACCTCCTTGGGGCTAAGGTATGTCTGTCCAAGGCTATCACCTGAAATAGAGACACCATTTGTTTGGGTTTTTTTTTAGTTTGTACAAAACTGTATGTACTAAAAAGCTTCAAGATGTGCTGGAACAGAGAACAAGTATGCTGTTTCAGCTCTCACCCTAACAATCAACGAACATAACCAGAAACTGTCTCCAACTAACAGACCCCCCTATTACACAGATCAAATTTCACAGAGCGTGCCCCCTTTTTCATGATTTGCCAATCACAATAGATGGAACAGTTACGCAAAGAAGCACTGATCAGGACTACTGAAATAAGCCTTAGCCTTCATAAAGCAGGTGAAATCCCCAAACATTCACATAAAAGCTTGTGATTTCACTTTAGGTTTCACAAGAATTAAGTATTGCAGAGAAACACATCTCCCCTACCTGGTTCAGTGATAACCTGTTTAGTCAGGATAAGACTTCCAATTCATTGCATACCGCATCTGTATCGGTATCAACCATCTTACAGTTTGACTTCTGTATTTGTTAAAAAACTTTTTTTCTGCTCCTACTGAGCAGTTGTACATCTAACCTAACACCTATCTGAAGACATTTCACATGTTTTAAGGACTGTGCTTTATGGTACGCACAGACCTCAGCACGTGAACAAAGCTGCATAGCCTGCCGGTTGCCTTTCAGAGCTCCCAGGAAAAGGATCAGCGTACCTAGAAACACAGAAGGCAGCCCATAATGGCAAAGACAGACTTCTCCCACCAGAGGGTCAGCAACCAAACGCTCTTCAGAAGTCACTTTTTCACTTACTGTATTTACAAACAGACTATAAATATTTCAAAAGAAGTTACCTCCAGTTTGCAGCTGCACTCCTGGAGTTAAGTGAAGAAATTCCGGTTTATTACTAACTCTAGATCCAGATATGAATCCAAAGACAAAATCAGAGTTGTCTTCAGCCATCTGTACCTGAAGAAGATCAGTAAACAGTTACAAGTGATATACCTAAAATTAACCCTGACTAGCAGTCTGTTGCTCATCCACCCTTGGACACATTAAGCTGCATGAAACACCCATTCTTGCTTTGCCAGTATAAAGTCACCCAGAGCTGCCTCAGCCCTCACTGATCTTGTTGCACTTGCAGCCAGGAACATGAATGTTATGTTTCTTTCTATGTTATAAGTAACACAACGAATGAATTAAAATGAATTAGCAATGTATTGCTTAAGGGAAGAAAAAAAAGGAGGGGGGGGGCTGGTAGCAAGCTTGGCATGTTTCTTGACCACCTCACACGACTAGCCTACAGCTGCAACCTTTAAACACCACACTGTCAGGTTCCTGAGTCTCCACAAGAAAAAAAAACCTGTAATAGCTACCTGGAGAGACTTCTGGACATGCAAATATTAGAAGCACACAAAACCTCCCTGTCACAACACTTTACAAGCTTTTAACCTGAACCAAGACTGCCTACTTACTGCAGTTTTTGTGTATTCACCCGTTGCAAGTGACCCTTGGGAACTCATCTCAGCAATCAGAAGACAGCCGCGCTGGAGAGGAAGACCTACTTCCTTCAGACCTTTCACAACTCCAGGGCCTGGGACCACGTGGGCATTAACGATGTCCGACCAGGATGCGATTCTGAACACACCACCTGTGAACATGGATAGGAGGACATAGCCAAAGCATCATTAGAACTGTATGAAAAGGAAACGAGTTAAACAAAACAAGCTGGACGCTAAATCATTCGCATTTTAAAAGACAGTTTTACTACTGAAGCTGGACAGTTACAAGTTCAGTCTCATCAGACAGTTCTGATACCTGCCTAACCACAAAGCGTAACGTCTCAGATTCTTTTACTTTTCACAAACACTTCTTAGTATCTCACCTTTAATATTCACTGAGACATTTATGGTACCCTAGAAATCCACTGTCACAGGTGCTGCCTTTCAATACAGCACACAGATCACATAGGATGAATGGATCAGAAAAAAAACAGTTTTACAGTTGCAGATGCAGTATCGAATGAAAACTGTAACGAGCACACAAGCATACGATAGTAGGCTGCCCTAAGAAGCCACACTGAGTTTTCTCACAGCAAACAACTACTTAGAAGTACTTACTGAGCAGAACCATAGATTCATAAAAAGATTAAGGTTGGAAGGGACCTCTGGAGGTCATGCCCTCTCAGCAGGGTTAACTTCAAAGCTAGATCAGGTTGCTCAGGCCCTTCTCCCCTCATGTCTTCTCCAAGGCTGGAGATTCCACAGGCTCTCCTGGCAACCTGTGCCAGTGCTGCAGTTACACGCACCAGCAGAAAAGTTACAGTAAATTGAGGTTGATGATAATCACCTTCATATTGATGTTTCACTGTGTTTCCAATGTCTGCGAACTTCCTGTCTTCAAAAATCAAGAATTCATGTCGATCTGCGAGTATTCTCAACTCCTTTACTACCTCTTGGGTGAAATCATTCAGGATGTCTACGTGAGTCTTCATGATACAAATGCTGGGGCCCAGGATGGCAGCTAACTGCAGCAGCTCTTTGGAGCTGGTGACATCAGCAGAAAGGCACAAGTTCGTTTGCTTCTTTTCCATAAGTGCGAGAAGCCTGGCTGCGATCGGATGTACCCCTGGCAGCTCGGCACGAGCGCCAAAGCTCAGCTCTTTACACAGTCTCTTCATGGGAGCGGGGCCGTTCTGAGCCACTGGCTCAAACATATTTCCCTGAATGAATTTCTTCACCTTTTCAACGGTCTCAACAGGCACTTCTCCCTGCTGCTGGAGAATCTCCAACACCCCGGACAACGTGCACACAGAGTGCAGGCGAATTCCTCGTTCCTCTAGCCTGGCCTTCCCGCCCTGCTGCCTGTCCAACAGCACTATGGCATCTGTGACTTTTAATCCTTCTTTCTGAAGAACTTCTGCAGTTTCCAGTACACTAGATCCACTTGTTACCACATCTTCAATGATCAAGCATGTTTCTCCTGGATTAATAGTGCCTTCTACCAGCCGCTTAGTACCTTAAAAATTAAAGGGAAACAATCCACTAAATCAATAAAGTTTAAAAGACTCCCAAAAAACTTAAACTATCAAAACTTTAACTTGCCATGCTCGTGTAAAAATTGTATTTGTTCCACATACAAGCATATGCTGCAGCATGTCCTGAAGTCCAATGGAACTGGACTTCAAGAGAATAGGAATTTCACATTCACTGTCAGTATGGAGAGGTAATTTGTTTAGTTATTACCTGATACCAGTTATCACAGTTCTTACCACAGCTCAGTTGTTGACTTGTAATTAAATTCATAAAGACTGTTACTTCTCCAAGTTATTAAAATAATTCTTTATGTTTCCAGAAGTTATGTTCCATTAACAATACTGACATATTTTTAACCACACAAATTTAAATCTTTGGAGAAGATGACCACAGAAGTTTATTATTAACATGAATTGAACACTCAGAATTACAAAACTGTTTTTTCCAGTTAAGTAAAACATCTTTAAAGCAGCCAAGTTATTGGTACTCTTCAGCATATTACCTATTTTCCCCAGGCAGTATTCCATGCTTAATATGCCTGTTAGAACAATTAGAAGGAGCAAAGCCCCCAATGCCTTTGCCCTGACCAACAACAGGCACACGTCCATGAAAGGCCTCCTGGGGGCAACAACAAAGGAAGCCCAGCTTTCCCAGGAAGCAGTAAGCAGCAGGGGAACATTACACAGCAAGTGCGGTGCTCAGACCATGACAGCCTAGAGAACAAACCTACCTACAGCTTTGCAATCTGTGTGACAGCAGAAACATTGTGCCAGGCAGTTAATCACAATTGACTTGTCCTTCACAAGAAGGAACAGCACACGTTTTCACACCTGACACACTGACTGACACAGGAGTAACAATTAGTTTAGACAAGCATACTTTCTAATTAAATGCTGTTGGAAGAGCATAGGTCTTATCACATGTAGAAATCCAGTTGCTATAGTAGGTTAACGCTTCAGTTTTCTCTCCCCCTTCCTTTATCAAAATCAAATAAATAGTTATTGAGTAAAGAACTGCTTCTCACCTGGCCCACCCTGCCCACTGATTACAGGACTACAGGATATGAGAGAAAAAGGGGTTGGAGAGGTAAATGAAGGAGAGACTAGAAAGGTTCCTCTTGGAGTCAATATGCAAAAAGTTCTGTTTGGGGGTAAAATGTGGCACTGGTCTCAGCACATCAGAGGAACTGAGTTATAAATTGTGGTTTCTGGAAGAGGCCAGTAACCCAGAACCGTGGTAATTGTGCCATGGGAAAAAAAAAAAGACACTACAGAAGGAACCAACAAAAAAAACCCCGCAAACAAAACCAAAGAAAAAACCCCTCCCCCTCAAGAGTCTCAAACCTAGAACGGCAGGATTCAAGCTGCAGCCTAATCAGCAACGAGCTGGCAGAGCCCGCAGGTTGGGATGCTGCGGGAGGTACATTTTAGGGGGGAAAAGGGGCTGCTTTTTTAATTAGAGTGGTAACCTTAAACTGGAATGGAGATGCTGCACGTTACAGAAGAACCACAAATACATAAAGTCATTTCCCAAACAAGACGCAAATCCTTGATTTGAAGGTTTTACCATAGTCTTTTGCTTCCTTCCTCCGTATAAGCATAGGAATCTGATTTTCTGAGCAGATAATCGGATCGTGGCCGGCGGCAATGCTGTGTAGTGAACGCCGCACACGCAGTCATACTCGAGACCGGCATCTTTGGCTGTTTGAAAGAGAAGACCTGCAACCTGAAAAGGAAAACCAGACGCTTTTTTAAGAGTCAGGCTGCCATGAAAGTGAGGGAACAAGTGAGGGGAGCAACGCAAATGCACGACAGCTCTCTCCTTTGCGCGGTTTGGCGGTCGCTGTCCCTACAGCGAGCGGACAGACCGACGCCCGCCCCCAGGCGGCTCCTGGCCAGCAGATCGCGACCCCAACGCCCGGACGGGCTCTCTGGAGCCTCCTCTCCCCCGCCTTTAGCTAA